CACTCACTCACTCACTCACTCACAAGAAGAAATGTTGTATGCTTTAAAGGCAGGGTTATCTATTTAGTGTGTGTGTGTGTTTACCCCTCTGGTAATTCCTGTCCCGATGGTATCTGTAGCTTTAGAGAGGCGTGTAATCAGCTCATTCTGAGGTGTAGCTCATTGAAACCCGTGGGGTAGGAGAGGAGGGGAGAGGAAAACGAGTAAGGGAGAAGGGTGGGTTCACTGCTTAAGAGAGCTGTTATTTGTCCTGAAACTAGTGCATTACTTCGCTGCTGCTCGCACATGCAACGCCGTGCACCTTCAGCCATGCCCTTCCAACCATGTGTGCGCACATATGCATATTAGTGTGCATTTTGTTCTACAGTGTGACTGTTCCTGTGCCCTGCCTCTGTCTCCCTCCCAGTGTCCATGCTCTACTTTTCTCTGTCTGTTTCATTTTGTCTCGGGCTCTTATCACCAACGCAGGCTTCTGTTCTCCTTGGGTCTCAGACTACAAAGTGATTCTGTCTGATCCTCTCTGCTGCCTCCCGCTGTTTCCTCAGAGTATGTTCGTTGGTGATTGATTAACTGAGACCATCCGTGCGCTTGCAGTGTTTGGAATTTATCAAGTTCATCTACATATTATTAATTGTAATCATGCGAGTGCTGTTGTGTGTTTTTGATCTCATTGTGTCTAACTATTGTGGCCTAGAGGGAAGTTGTTTGGGTTAACTCCATCCTTGTGCCCAGAGCTCTGTAGATACTCCAAAACCCATCAGCCTTAGGGGCACTGCATAAACATCGACTGGTTCCCAGTTTCATACTCGTGCTAACTCTGAATGGGATTAGTTTTTGTTCGCTTATGAAAAGCTAATCAATATGCATACTAATTAGTTCTCAATCATTAAATGTTTGCTGCTGCTGTACCACCATAAACCCCACAAGTTCACAAGTTCTGCACGTGAATGCAGAATTTTAAAAGTAAATTTTAAATGGTGATCGTGCAGCAAACATTTCAGTGTTTTAAAAAAATCTTTGTGATTCTGTTTGGGATTTTTAATGCTGTATTTATGTAATATTGGCAGGAAAAAAAGAACAGAAAAACTTCAGTCCCATTACCAGTCATGATAGCACTGTTGCCCTGCCAGTGATTCTGAGTACTTTGGCATGGTCAGTTCATGATTGGCTTTCAAGTCCAGAGTACTGAGTTATAGAAGCTGAAATTTCAGTGGCTAAGGAGCCATCTGCTCAATGTAGGGGTTAGTGTGTGTGTCGCCATGGCAGTTGAAAGGCATTTAAGTTATGTCACATAATAACATGCCTTGTATCTGAATAACTACAAATAAGCCTCAAAGACTTATTTATGCTCGTAAGGGAAAAGTTAGTGGAAGGCACGGCAGTTCAGTAGTTATGCTATCACCTCACTACGAGAAAGTTGCTGGTTCCCAGTACACTGACTTCCTCCCACAGTCCAAAGTTATGCATACATATAAACTGGAGGTTAAATGATGTTTCTAAAATGTCTTTGGATGTGAGTGATTCAAGTATATAGAACCCCGTAAAGCACTTTGATTGATCAGTAAGATTAAATAAATGCCAGTTCATGTATTAGAATGTGCTCTGAAAGCCTGCCTTTCATTATATATACAACGTTGTACATATAAAATCATATTACATTCATTATGCTTCAGAAGACTGCTACTGTGGAATACATGTTGGAAGCTTTTACCTTGGTCTGTCATATGTATATACTGTGTATCAGGTGTCGTTTTCTTATGTAGCTGCTTTATACAATAACTTATATGAGGTTCATATAGATTGAAATAATAAGATGAAACTTGCAATATGAAAAGAAGAAGCCTCAAGCTTAAAAAGCCAATATATAAACTGTATAACCAGCTGTTTAGTCAGTTCATCTATACACTGTAGGCCTGAAAGTGCAAAATCAAATCACCAAATTACAAAACAACCGCAGGTGTGACTGAGACCAGAACAAAGGTTACGATCATAGATGGGTTTGGTCTGAGCCATATCTGCTTGCAGAAAGAAAAGAGGGCCGATCAGCCTGCTACTTGACGCCCTTCATACATATTCTGTTTTATTTTTTTAATGTATTTGTGTTTGTGTGTATATATATTGTGTATATATATACTATTTTAATATAATTTAGACTTGATCATAGAACTCATTGGCGCTGTCCCATCACAATAGAATCGCACGTTTTTTACTACCCTCTTTTACTCATGCAATGCAAATAGCTTAGTTTAGTTAAGTTTGTGTTAAGTACTTAGTCTGCTTTGTTTATAGACCTGTTGAAGCCTGTAGTGAATCTCAATCTAATCTTTCTCATAAAGGCTGGTGTTGTTTTCACCTTGTGAGTCTGTCGGTGTTTAATCACAGCTAAATGTGGTCCCGCTGACAGCTTGTGTAGCTGTGATTGAACTGAGATGGCTGTGTTAGAATTGGAGAACCCTTTTGGGGGGTTAGGCTGCCTCCCTAAGAGAAAGGTGCAGCATACAGAGTTGCTGTTGGTAGCCACGCAGAGGCAAATTTTGCATTCAGGGGATTCACTATTAAAGTGCACTTTGATTAAGTTTGTGCTCATCTGGAGAGCACTTATTAGAAAAGGACCCGTACTTTGTCTTTGCCTAATAAATACGATCTGTATTTGAAACCGGTTGTGTGCTTGCAGAAACCTGCACATTCATAGCCAAGTCCACTGTATACAGGTAGATGTAGACATACATGCAGTTGTTTAGTGTGAAGGTGGACAGAAACCAAACCTTTCAGGGATTTTAAGGGTTTTTTTTTCTTCATTTGTGTCCCAATATTCCTTCTTCTAGTCCTGTATAGTGTTTCCTGACATATTTCTGGAATATTAAAACATATCTGTTTAGATAGTTGTTTTTTTTGGGTAATCGGTGGTTTATAAACGTCTCGCTTCTCTCTGTCCTTTACAGTATTGCTCCAGCTGGCCAACGATGCATTTCCCAGGGACATGATGCTGGCTCTGTCCTACTTACTTGCTCTGCCTCAGGTAGGGGGACACTCGCACACGTCCTGGTAACAAAAGGAGTTGGATTTTATTTTATTGAGACCATCAGATAGTTGAGCTAATCCATTTTGTCTGCATGATCTATTTCATTTGACATTTTACACCTTTGATTTGACCTCTCATGTTATTAGACATTTCACAAGTTGTAAATATGCATCTCTCTTTATGTAACAGTGTGAGAACAGTCCACCGTTATAGGCTAGGCTGTGCAAAGACTGAAAGCAGAGGCGAGATGTAATGCAGTTGTCTACTTTCATCTCAGGCCTCTTGATTTAGAATATCCTGAAAGCAAAGAGTCAATTTGTGAAAATGCCACTATGATCGTTTGTCTTGCATGTCCTTATATTTGTTCTTACCTGCAGGTGCTGGATGCCAACAGGTGTTTTGAGAAGCAGTGTCACTCGGCCTTGTCGCTCCAACTGGCTGCCTACTACTACTCCCTGCAGATCTACTCGCGCCTCATGCCCTGCTTCAAGGACAAGAACCACACTCTTTACCAGGTCAGTGTATTTCTGTGTATGAGGGAGTGTTTGGGTGGTTGAATGAATAAATGTTCCGATGTTACCTTGGGAAGACACTAGATGCACGTCTGTGATGTTGTGTAGCCAAAACTGTTTTGTTCCACAGCTCGGAAATACAAAAAAAGAGCGTTTCAGAACTGGGGTGTTTGTTTGCACGTCTTCTTTTATTTTGAAAAAGAAAAATCTCTATGCTGTTCTTGTGTATGACTTCTGCCCTGCCTCATCTGCTCTACAGCATGACTTGGCTTCTGTCAAAAATAGATTCACCACATATTTTTAGTCATGTGGTGCAGAAAGCTGCTTTTGGGATGCTTAGAAAATGCACTGCAGTGCAGCTGTTGAACGCACAGACAAAAGAATCCAGTTTTAAGCAGCTAGGACATAAAATCTTGATGTGTTGTGAACAGATTATTTTTTGAAGATAGGTCTTGAAACTTTAGAGCCTCAGTGCAGGAGTTGGCTCTTTAGGCAGTGCATTTTACTGGTTGGGAGGATCATAGCAAAACAGTGTTTCACCTGTGGTTTAAGTTTGTTTCAAGGTTGCTTCAATAATGGATGGAGTGAAAATAGATGTGTGTATGGCTTTTTAAATGAAATTTTATGTATGCTTTTGTTTGACATTTATTTAAGGAGGAAATAGTATCATAGACATTAAATGTAAGAGCAAACTGTCCACAATCGCAAGAAATGCATCTGTGTGAGTCTGGGTGATCTAACAGTGCAAATGTGATTTGATTTATAAATAAAGATTGAGCCAGTTAATTTCAATAATAATCAGCATTCTACCATTAGCAGCTCAGATTTGTAAGTCACAAAGGAGCAGGTGAAGAAGGACAAGGAAGCCAGTACTAACCAGTATAATACAGTGGGAGTGTAGGTTTACTGCATGTGTGTTTCTGTCCAGAAAAAGCATGGCCATTCGCATCAAGGAGAGGCAGCTGAAGGGGAATCAATATGTTTAGATAGGGCGCAAACCCCTTTGTTAGAAATTGATGGACACTGTGTTGGGTCTGGGAGGTCATTTAAGTCTGACAGCTCAGGTGGAGGTCTGCATTATTGCAAACTATACCTCCCTATGAGCCTGAAATCTGTGTGTGACAGGAGGGTGCGAGATCCTAGAGTTTTTAGAAGACTGGAGACGAGGCAGATCAACTCGATCATATAAAAACAATGAAATGTAAGAAAAGATGCATAATATTATCATCCAGTGTAAGGTTTATGATACATAAATGCCCTAAATTAACAGTACTGGTAATTCCTAAATGCATTATTTATGTTTCTATAAGGGTTAATCCAGTAGCATGTGCAGGCTTTTTAAATAAAATGATATTTTTTAATGCAAAAATATAATTATTGTAATTATCTATGAAGTTTTGAATTCACTGTCATACTGTCAACAGAAACATTGTTTCGTTGGTTGAATATTATCCTTGATGCAGCGTGAATTCTGTTTGTCTGCCGAAGTAAGGAGCAATATATAATTTTCAGTTTTAAATAG